CGGAACAACTGGTCATTTCTGCGTGTGTCCTCCGGCCCTAGGAACGTTCGCCGTGCTCAGCCTCATGACGGGCTCCGCCGTGGAGCGGCTAGTGCCCGAGCCGCTCGGGGGGAACCTGAGCGGAATCGAGAGGGAGCAGTTGGACGCTCAGCGGGTTGGGGCAGCTGCGGCCTTGGCCTTTGGGAGCGGGGCGTTGATGGTGAGGGAAGACCCGGGGGGGTGGGTCCACCCTGGGGGTCTGGGGAAACCGAGCCAGGGGAAAGGGTGGGGCAGGTCGCCCGCGCCGGTCTCGGTCAGAGGTGCGCCAGGAAACGGGCGCGCTGCGCTCCAGCTGTGACTGGGCATCTTCCTCCCGCAGCTGGGGATGTTCGCGCTGCAGCTCGGCGTCCTGTCCACCTTCCTGTCCGAGCCCGTGGTTAAAGCGCTGACCAGCGGGGCCGCGCTGCATGTGCTTGTGTCCCAGCTGCCGAGCCTTTTGGGGTTGCGCCTCCCGCGCCAGATCGGCTGCTTCGCTCTCTTCAAGGTGGGCGGGGACGGGTGGGCAACAGGAAAGAGGTTCCAGCGGTCCCGGAGGGAGGCCACCGGAAAAGGAAGGCAGGAAGGACGAGTGGATGGAGAGATGTGTGTAACGGGGCGGGGCGGAGGAAAGGTTAGACCCAGAGGCTGAATGAGGGTCGCCGTGGAGGCGGGAGCCCTGATGGGAGCCGGGAGAGCCTTGCCTGGGTCTGGTGGGTCCGCCGGGGACAGTCGCCCCTAGCTCGGGGCCCTCTGCTCCCCGCCCGTCCGCAGACGCTGGCCGCTGTGCTGACCGCACTGCCCCAGAGCAGTCCGGCCGAACTGACCATCTCCGCGCTCAGCCTGGCGCTGCTCGTGCCGGTCAAGGAACTGAACGTGAGATTCCGAGACAGGCTCCCCACCCCGATCCCAGGGGAAATCGTCATGGTGAGGATGGCTCTTGGGCACCGGCCCCCTGCGCCTCACGAACCCTGCCCATCCTGTAGGAGCTGGCCGCTGCCGCCCCCTAGCGGAACGCAGAGGGGCCGCAGCCGAGAGGTCCTGCTGACACAAGCCCTTTGCTAGGCTGCTTCCCAGAACACGCTGACCCTCCGGAATCCCCCACCGCACGTCCCCTCTCCTCCCGCGGAGCTCCCCCTGCAACTCTGACTGCGCCTTCTTCCTCCGAACAGCGCTCCCGTGCGGCGTCGCTCGGCAAAGCGCCTCCACTCCCATCTCTCTCCAGGCCGGGTCCTTCCCTGTAACTCCCTTTCCCTTCCCAACCTACCTACGTTTCTCTTTCCAAGTAAATAAATGTTCAACGTCTCCAAAGAGACCCTACGTATCCGCAGACAGAGCCAAACTTCCCTACTTAGAATGGCTCGGTTTTGCCTCCTAATACCCACCTGCCTCTCCCAT